ACGGGCCTGTATATTACTTGAAACCATAAGAAGTATACGTGATTATTAAAAATTAAAAATAGATAAAATTTGCATTTTATGGAGGATACAGTTTTTTTGGATTTCAAAATAATGTACTAAAACATTAAAAGTAATAAGTTCAAATCTGTAGCAAATATAAATATTGTAATCATTTCTTATAAATACCATTTCCTAATGTAATTTTCCAAGATATTAAAGATCATAATCCAAAAAAACTAAATTTATTAAAAGTAATAGGCTTTGTGTTTCTTAAACTACCTACATTTGTCAAAGTACTTATGAACTTTCGAAGATATTCGTCCACTAGTTTTATTGTTCGAATGAAATATAGCAAGACTTGCATTGCCTACTAAGAAAGTTAGTAGCCGGTAGTCATTGGGTTAAGTAGACCTACATCGCTTGTTGCCTTTATATAGCTAGATCTAAATCTATGACATTTTAAAATTACAATTAAACCAATTTAAACATGTGAAAACATTTGAAAATTATTATTTTCCTATATTGAAAATATATTTCCATAGGTACTTACCTCTTTTCACATAATAGCTCTTCTCGTTCAGTGCTGCCCTCTATATGCAAATTTTGTTTCACATGCCACTGGCCTTCAAACTTCCACCTACACCACAATCAACGTGGTTCACTGCGTCTTTGCATGTAAATTATTCTGCAACAATCTCCACAAATAGGAGTGTAACACACTCTTCTGATGCACATTACTCCCTCTATTCGATTCCATCTAACCATTACTTCGAGATTAAGCAGAAATTAAGCATCAGTAGTGGGGAGGAAGGGTGGGAAATGAGAGCAGGAGTAAGTACCTATCGGAAATATATTTTCAGTGTAGGAAATTAACTACTGATATGGTACCTTACCCCTCCCCCTCTCGCATAATAGCTAGAATCCCACATAGAGGGATATAGAAAAGCCAGATACACACAACATCAAACTCCAAGATCCACCACACGGAGGTGGAGCATATGAAGCAAAATCCCGTGAAGTAGAAGAAGGAATCAAGACCAACACATGTGTGAGAGCTTGTTTTATGTTGATATGTTCAGCTCGAATCCAAAATCACTAGCTGGGAACCAACATCCAGTCTATGGTAGAATGAGGGATCCCAACCAGAGGGGTGAACTGCAATGTGGTGGATCTACTCTATTTCAATATATGATTGTGATGCATATAGAGGATCTACACCATCTACAGCAGAGCAACACCACCCTACTCTCTACTGAGTAGAATTGAGCACATTCAGGAGGTTTCCTCCATGGTCCACCGCCCCAGTGGCAAGTACTCCCATATTCCACTAGAAGAAAAGGGGGACATGGTGAGGAGTCCAGAGGAATGTCTACACTGGGAGCAGTGCAATGGGTGACAAACCCCTATTTTGAATATCAGGCCACAATCAAATGGATTGGAGGGGTGGGCAAGCAAAATACCACAAGGAAAACCTACTAGCAGTCTTATGGAATACCCCATCTCATCAGTGTGATTTACTGGCCATGGGTTGACATCGAGATTGGTGGAATCGGCCTCCACTTGAAGACAGTTTTGGTGTGAGTTCCCATGCAACCCTCATCACATCACCCAGTGCAACATCATTCTCTCAGGCTCAAGTCCACTGAGGTGGATCATCTGGAGTAGTATGATGTAACCCATGCAACATTATCCCCAAAATAGGACCACATGGATCACCAGCTGATATTCCAAGCAACCACAGTCTCCACAATTGCACAACATAAACCTCTCGGACACACTACATAGAGGTGGGAAATGGAGGAAAGGGAAATTAGCAGAAATGAACTCCTTTCACGAGCTGCTGAAGTTTCGGGTAGTAATAATCAGTTTGGATAAAGAAGAACATATGTGGATTGGAAAAGAGTATGTGAAATATTGGTGATAAAGATTTCAAACCGATGACACCCACGAGTGAGAAGGAGGAGAAGGAAATGAGTCAAAAGGGATTGGTGATACATGGAGCAGGATGCCATTGATAGTGAAGCCACAAGTTCCCAGTTCCCTAGTTATCGCTCATATACGACAATCTTAACTTGAAATACAGGCCCTTTATCTCGCTTAATAGCTACAACCCATTTCTTCTTAAGTCTTTATTTGACGGGAAGTGGTAGAAAAATATGTTTTTTATCTCGTTTTACACCTTTTTCTTTATAACGCAAGTCATTGCTGCAATCGTTGTTAGCAGTGAAGTCATGATTTACGCCTATTACACGTAAACTACGTCATATGAAAATCTTATGGTGGTATATATAGTAGTTGATAGTATGAACCATTGTAATAATTAAATTTACTTACAATTAAGTTCACAACTTTCATGTGAATTTTTAGTTCTTTCTAACCAGATAGTAACCTAAGTTTATATAGGCGTGTGAACATTATGAAGACATTGACCTAAGCTGTACTAATGAGCCTTGAATAGGCGAAACTGTAGCCGACAACAGAGAGTGTGGTGAATCAAAGAATGTATCCTCTACATCACAGATTATATTATCAATTTTACCTTTCTTGAATTATAAGCTCACAACTAATAATACAGACTGACATAAATCTTAGTAACAACAAATGTCACTATTAACACAT